TACAGGAGGATTTGGGTAAATTTATTCTTCCATTTCTGGATTTCACTTCCCTGGTTTGTCCATGGAAACATTGAGTTAAAGCTCAAATGTTCATTTTTTCCCCCGCATGGATAATAATCTATATTCAAACAAAGCCTCACAACAAACAAACAAAATCCAGCCAACCAACCAACCAACCAACCAACCAACCAACCAACCAACCAAGAACAACAGCACATATGTAAAACAGAGAATTCTGCCTAAAGCAGAAATGGCTCCCCCAAGACCCTAAGAAACCCTCATCCTCCTCCCTCACCTGGGACTCTTCTGCCAGTTCTTAGGTGTCCTTGGTATGTCTAGATCCCCACATGAGAGGGCGTGGCCTTCCTTCCCTTCCATCCCTGTAGAAGCTCAGCTGGAGGTGGAAAGACTGAGGTCAGAGATCAGAGGCTTTCCCTCATCCTTCCAGAGAGAACTGTATATAAGGTTCTTATAAACATTTGTGCTTATGTCTGTGACTGTGAACTTTTTCTGGAGGTCCTTGCCTTCTTATCCTGGCCTACCCTCTGATACCCAGAGGGGTTCTTAACTGTCACTGAGTAGAACAAGGTGAATGCATGATGACAATGTGGTTAAAAAGAAACGCCCTTAGCCCCTTTCTTGGGCAACTGGAAAGGGGAGAGAGGGAGGAAGAGACCTACATTTCTGGTCTTCAAAGGCAGAACAGGGTGGGACTGGAAAAGGAAGGCGCTTACAGGAAGTCATCAGCAGGATGGACAGAACTGGAGTGGGGTGGCACACTGCCCTGCAGGCTCTTTGTCCTGACTTCCGGTTCTTATCCAGGTCTCTTGGTGCATGCAGTGCCCAGAATAATGCTGAAAACCATGAGAAAGGAACCAGAATAATTTGCCTGCTGGAAGGAAACAGTATATACTTCTTTCTTTTTCTATTTTCTTTATGGTGCAAGGAATGGAACAGAGGATTCTCTGCACTCTAAGCCAGAAGCCTACGATTGAACTATACCCCCAGTCTTAGAAGAAGTTGTTGGTTTTTTGAGACAGGGTCTCAATATGTAACCTAGGCTGGCTAGGAACTCACTGTATAGACTAGGCTGATCTTGAACTCCTGATCCTCCTGCTTAAGCTGTCTTAGAGCTGAGAAAACAGACATGTACCGTCATGTCTAGCTTCAGAGGAGAATCCTAAGACCTCTTCCATTCCCCAGGCTCTTCCAGGAGTCCACCCAAATCTTGACACCTATGTTTTCTCTCCTTGTTGGTATCCCCAGGGGTGGGCAGGCTTCTGCGGAGTTTGGGGGCAATGAGGAGGACTCCAGAAAGGAGAAAGGTCAGGGCTGCTGAACAGGGCTGTCCCAGTAGCATCTCCACCTCTGCCCAGAGAAACCAGGTCACGAGGCTTAGAAAGAAAAGACAGGACTGAGAGGAAATTGGGTAAAATCAGGGCCCTGGGATCTTTTCACTTATTGTGACATCATCTTGCCCCAGAGTCACATGCTTAGCAAAAAATTTCACTTGGGTACCTTTAAGGGCACTGAAGCCTGGTACCTGTGGGATTTGGCCCCAACATAACTCCACTATCAGCACAGGGCAGATTTCAGTATTTTGAACTTTGGACTCTCCTTCCCTCCCCTTCTCCCCATTGGCCTGGCATTGCTGTTTCTTTTTTTTTTTTAAAGATTATATTACATTTTATTTATTTAGTACATGTGCCTGTGTGTGCCTCAGTGTGTGTGTGTGTGTGTGTGTGTGTGTGTGTGTGTGTGTGTGTGTGTGTATGCCTGTGTATGTATGTGTTGCAGGAGGGCCACAGTGCACAAATGTGGAGTTTAGAAGACAACCTTTGGGGGACCATTCTCTCCTTCCATACTGTGGGTCCTGGAGATTAAACTCAGGTTGTCTGGCTTGGCAGCAAGGGCATTTACCCACTGAGCCATCTTGTTGGCCTTCTGCTTGCCTTTTTAATACACGGTCTGTGCTCGACTCTCTTTAAGCCAGTTTATGCAGTTCTCATAGCCTTCTAGGAAGTGCTGTTCCTGGTCTAGCCATCATACAGATAAAGGAATCAGGGCTCTGCTGGAGGCAGGGAAAATCATGGCGGGTCATGTGGCTGTGGAAGAACGGCCATCTAGTCCGGGATCTGGGGCATGTATGAAAAACAGCATAACATTTTTGGCACAGTGTCCATTCCAGCCACTTGGCTCCTCCTCTTCTGCCTCTGTCCTTCCACAGGGTCCTCCTCTCCCTCAAGCCTCTGACTGCCCCAGGCTAGGTTTGCCATATAGCTGACAAGAGGCAGATCAACATTCAAGATAGTATCACAGCTATAACTCAGCTGCAGAACATGTGGCTAGATTGCATGAGGTCCTGAGTTCTGTTCCTCAGCACCAAACAAACAGACACACAACCAAAACAAAACAAAACAAAACCAACCAAACAAGCACTCTCTTTGCCCAGCATGGTCCTGGATTGTATCTGTAATTCCAGCATTGGGGAAAAAAGAGCTAAAATGACTAAGTTCAAGGCCAGCCTGGGCTACATAGCAAGTCCCTGTTTTAAAAAAAATTAAAATTAATTAGGAGAAAGACTTTGTACCTTAAAGGCCTTGCTTTAAGGAAAGAAAGGGCCAAGAGGCAGAGATGCCACACAGACCTCAGCCTCTTGTTGGCATGGTGTGGGCAGTGGTAGAATCCCAGCTTGCTCTTAGGAGTGGGGAGGAATGGGAGGTAGGCAAGCTGTCAGCTAGCCTTCATGGAAGGACTGTTCTTTTGCGATCAGATTACCATTTCTTGTTCTCTGAGGGTGGAAGACAGTGGAAGATGCCGTCTCCCTGCATTGGGCTTCCCCCTCTTAAGAAAACTGAATTGCTCTCACCCTTCCTCCCAGCCACTCAGGTTCCAGAAATTGTTCCCTACTGTGATCCCAGCAGAAACAGTGGCTCTTCCTCCTGTAGGCAGAGCCCTTCTGCTCACCCTGAGATCCAGCATGGAAGCAGTAGGGCACTTGGGTTCCCCCAGGCTGACTAATCCAGCTACTGTGTGGTGCAGGCCCTTCTCCAACACAAAAACAGGATTTCTCAGGGTGGGATTTCTATAAGGCACTGAGAGGGAAGGCTTGGGGCTGGGTATGAGCCAGTGCCTACTGACTGGAAGCAAGAGATGAGGTGAGGGCTAGGGACACTGTGGGGAGGGCACTGTGCAGGCAGCTTGGTCTTCTAAGGAGTCAATGCTATAGTCTTTGACAAGATCCTTTCATTTCCCATGTTGCTTCTTTTTCTGGAACACATAGGACTGGACTAGATACTGTGTGGTCTTAGCTGCTGGGGTAAAAGGGAGGAGGAGGAAGAAGAGGGGAGAAAGGAGCACCGCAGTGTGACTCGGACAGTGGTGATATTGAGAAGCCTGGTCACTTCTCTGAGCCTCAGGGTCCTCATCTGCAAAATGGGAATTACTAAGAGCCTGAAAAGCTTTCTGAAAGAAGGACGAGAAAGGGATATAATGACTCAGGATACCGCCTGCAAAGTAACGTGTGTGCTAGAAGCCTGTGCCTTCCTGACATTGCCGGACTGGTTTCCTGAAGAGAGTAGGTTTTGGGATTAGGGGAGGAGCCGAGCTGCCAACCGTTGGTGGTTGTGGGAGATCAGAGAGGGGCCTAGTCCCGCAGGTGATTAGGACTCGTTGTCACCACCCTCCTGCCGCATAGAGAAGGGAGGGAGAGAACACGAGAGGCCGCACCTCTGTACTGTCCCAAGGCTGGATTCATACATCACACCATTCGAGAAGCTCACGTTTTCTCAGCTTTTCTCACACAGAATCACTTCCTTTGTTTAGAGGAGGGGGTGGGGGAGGAGACGGAGGGCGACGAGGGAGGGGCCCGCGGGTGCCGCCGCCACCCCCGCCCCCTCCCCCTCCCGGTGTGCGGAACCCGATTGTCACTCAGCTCCCGCTCCGGGGGCGACGGAGGCGCTGGCGCCAGAGTGGAGTCTAGGTTGGCTACCATCCCTCTGGACTTAACAGGCTAGCCCTGGGTTCTCTTGGCATCTTCTGAGGGAGCAACTGCCCAAGGCTTTGAGATTTGGAGACACTTGGTTTGACAGTTCAGGTGGCCAGGAGCTCTGACAGCTTTGGTGTGACCTTGGGTAAGTCTGTGTTTCAGTTCGTGCACCATGATTGTGCAGGAGCGGGGTGGATGAAATGACTGGAATGCCCCCCTTGGGGCAGTCGATGGGCAAGGATTCTGAGCTGGAGCGGGACTAGGCTACTGTTAAGAGTCGGGCACCAGTGGCGTCCCAGGTGGGTGGGCACAGGGCAGGCGTGCGCGCACTCGGGGGAATAGGAGCCTGTGGACCAGCCAGGTCCTGGGTTTAGTCCCTCAAATTCACTCCTGCCATCCAGTCCCAGGTACGAAACAAGGGCACTACCTCTTTAAAAGCGTCCGGGGCTGAGCCTCTGTCGCACCATGTGATTGCTTGAAAGGCCGGGCTGGGAGCGCAGCGGCGGGAGCCTGGAGAACGATGAGCCGGTGCGCGCACGGAGCCCAGAGCCCAGCCCAGCCCGGCGCGGCTCCGGAAAGCCGACCCGGGAACTTAGGGCAACGCCTTTGGGACCCCCTACTGGTTGGCAGGCAGGATGGCGAGGTCCCAGCCTCGGGGTCGGCGGACACCTGTGGGCATTGCGGATGCATAGGGGATCGTTGTGGAGTGAGTGTACTGGGAGCCACCTCACACCTGATACAAAAGCCAGTGGTGGAGTGAGTGTAGCTATTTTAAGTTGCTGAATGGAACCTCTGAGGACAAGGGGAGGGGACAGAGGTTAAGCAGATAGTGAGGCTGAGTGCCTGGCCAGCCTGGGCAGGCACTGCGTCTGCTAACTGGGGCACATCTTCGCAGGGCTGCCTATGTCCCCTCCTTCCCAGGCTGGCATCCCCACCGCAGGCTTCCTGACCACAGGTGCTGGCCTCGTGCCCCAGGGCGCCTGTCTGCTGATGTGCCCAGCTCCTGCCCACCATGTCGCCCTACATCTCGGCTTTCCAGGCTGCCTACATTGGCATCGAGGTGCTCATTGCCTTGGTCTCTGTGCCTGGAAACGTGCTGGTGATTTGGGCTGTGAAGGTGAACCAGGCACTCCGAGATGCCACCTTCTATTTCATCGTATCCCTGGCGGTAGCTGATGTGGCCGTTGGCGCCCTGGTCATCCCACTGGCCATCCTTATCAACATTGGGCCACAGACCTACTTCCACACCTGCCTCATGGTGGCCTGCCCTGTCCTCATCCTCACCCAGAGCTCCATCCTGGCTCTGCTGGCTATTGCTGTGGATCGTTACCTCCGAGTCAAGATCCCTCTCCGGTGAGTTCATAGCAGCCCAAGGTACCCTGTGAAACCCTATGCCTGGGGATGAGCTGGAGAAGATGAAAGTGCGTAAGCCCCACAGTCAGTCAGGTATTTATTCTCTGGCTGTTGGATCCCAGCCCACACTTTGCCTTCCTGGGCTCTGTATAGGGATGCTGTGCTGAGCTGCAGTTAGACAAGCAAGAGGGAGCTGGGTGGCCAGAGAATTACCATCCCAACAGTACCCACGACCTCAGTGCTATAACCCCTGGCAGTCAGGGAGCCTGAGGCAGCAGGTGGGGCCTGGAGTAGGGTTAAGACATTTGGAGGCATCCTTAAAACAGGGGACAGTCAGTGTTGGGAATGATCTGGATTCCGTAAGTCCTGGGGAGGAGGAGAACAGAGCTCCAGGGGAAGGTTGAGGATGTGTTAAGGGTGGCACACCAGGGCCAATGGTGCTGCTGCTTCTTGGATCAGAGCAGGCTGCCTTCCGGAAGACACTCTTTAGCTCACTTGTTCTGCAACTGTCTCTGTACCAGCCAGCTCCACCCTCCAGGCTGCCTGGCTGAGACCAGAGGGCTAGTTGCCTCTGCCCACCTCTCACTGAGGGGATCTCTTTTGCAGGCAGGGAGAATGCCCAGTGGCTTCCCTTCCTGTTCTCACTGTTGCCTACAGGCCACACCAGAAGTGATTTTTCTAGGCATCTCAGAGCTGGAGGCTTAATGGTGGCAGTTCTCATCATGGGGGCGGGAGGGGGGGCACAGGGTCCATCTGCCTTGAGGTTCCCTGCCCAGGCCTACCAGGCCATAATCTTGGCACCAGGCAGTGCCTGGGTCACCAAGTGCCAGCAAGTACCTGGGCACACTGCCAGCAACTCGCTCTGCTGGGGCAGTCTTTTGAGTGTGCTTCCCCCTTTTTGAATTCTTGTCACCAGTCTGTTCTCTCATGGTGAGCCTTAGCCACCTCCAGCACCTGCCATCCTATGCAGCTTCCTAGCTCCCATATCTGGGACACGGGGCCTCTGGTCTCACTTGGCAGTTTGCCCGAGCCGGGCTAGGTACCCAGAGTTCTCTCTTTGGTCACATTTATGCACGTTTAACTTTTCCCAGCCTCTTTTCATGTCACATGTGTCCAGTGAGGGAGAAGGAACAGGAACTGGAGGAGGGGAAGCAGGCTTAGAGGATCTCCCAAGCCAGGTGTGGAGAGCTCAATCCAACCACATCCTCCCTCTGATTCCTGTGCCTAGGGCCTTGTTGTCAGCCTCTTGCCCCCACCTCCAACCTCTCTCCCTCACAGCCACCAAAGTTTCCCAGGGAAGGTGGGGTGCAGGCTGCTGTTCCTCAGGGAAGAAGCAAACGGTCCAGAAGCCACATAGGCTCAGCTTCCGAGGGCCTTTCATGGTGCCATTAAACCCGGGTTGTTGTTGGCCTGCACCAGTCAAGTCAGTCTCAGTCCATTAGATGGGCTGGGCCTCAGAGCCCTACCATTACAACAGCGTAGCCACATTAGGAATGCAGAGATGGGCGGACAGAGGGAGGCAGCTCGAGAAAGTCTGCCTGCTGAGTGGGTGCCAATGCCTTGGGCCTGTCCCACAGAGGTCATGGACTTCAGAATGTGTCCTCTTTACCCTGTAGGCCTGGGGGATAGAGGTGGCCATGCTGGTAGGACTTGCAGGCTCATTCTCCAAGAGGCAGCTGCTGTTGCTTTGAAGATGGAGTTGTTGGAGAACAGTCCTCTGGGAGCTGAGGGTGTGCACAGTGGAATGTAATACAGTCCTGGGCTTGGATGCTTTTTACAAATGCCTAGCTGTGCCACCTTGGGAGAGCCACCTATTTAACCTCTCAAAACTTTAATTTCTTCATCTGTAAAGGGGGACAGAAATAACTGTGACTGCCTGGAGTTCCTGGAAGAATAAATAGCAATTAGTATTATGCCTGGCATATTGTATGTAGGCTGTAAGTGAGAAGTTTAGCTTCATTATTAATATATGGCTTGAACGGGGCTGGACAGGCAAGCTCTGTTTCCTCAACACAAACATGTGTGTTCTGAAATGGACACATGCACAACACATTCCAAGAAGGTGTCAGAGAACTGTTAAGCTATATCTGTACATGTTTTCCCTCCCCAGTGGACTGCCAGTGCCTCAAAGGCAACAGCCTGGGCAGTGCTCACATCTTGAGTGTTTCTGTGAATTATCTAGAATGTCTAGTGACAATGTGTAGTTGATTAAAACAGCTAGATTTCCAGATCACGTGGGTGAGTCTCAAGCAGGCTTTTTGGGAGCCCAGCCTCTATCTTTCTTGATGTGGCTACTGTCCCCCATTCTGCTTCAGGGCTCTGCCCACAGCTGTCCCCACTTGCTCAGCACCATTCCCGGGAGTGCTGTGCTCTGTGAAGAAGAACCTTCTCTCAAGTAAGCAAGGCTCCTGGCCAAGGTATTGATTCCTCTGGGTCTAGGCCTGTCACTGCCCAGCTACCCTGCAGGAGGTACAGATGCTCTGACTCCTTCTGGGCAGCTGGAGTCAGTGGAATGCCAGGCTTTTGAACCCACAGGCACCTGGCTCCCTCTGCCCTGACATGCTAGGCAAAGGTTGATGTGGCCCTGGGCCCTGAGAATGACGTCACTAAGTGTTGGGAAGGTGTGTCTAGATATCTGGATATAGGAGTCAGTCAGGCCTTCATAGAGCAAGGATTTGGTTGGTCAGTAAACCACAGGTTTTATTTCTTTCCACGTAGCCAAAAGTTGAGAGAGAGAGAGAAGAGATTCATCTCATATAATGTGACCCATTTATGTCTTTTTTTGAAGTCGAAATAAGTTGATTGTCAATAATTAGTGATCTTTTACATGCTTCATGCCATCCACCCATGCTTGTGATTGAGAAGCTAATCCCCTTACTCCTGTTCCTGGGACTCCTCAATATTCATCCTCCCACCTCCTCATCCAGGGCTGTCTTGGTACGCTGTAATAATTTGGGTGCTCCAGGGTGCTCCCTGTAAAAAGGTTGTCCTCAGCTAGATGGGTTGCAGTGAAGTGAACAGTGGCAGGTGCTTGGGGGTTAGACCTGAGTCTGAGCCTTGCCTGTGTTACCAGATAACTGTACAGCCCTGGAACCCATTCAACCTTCCCAGACTTTTCTCTCTGCCATAAACATGGTTGGATCCGAGGTCACTGAGGTTCCCTTTGACTCTAACTCTCTGTGGTTCTTCCTCCTCCTGGTTCCTGCCAATGCTGTCTTGGGATCCTGGGCAGGTTTGTGTTGGGTTTTTCCACTTGTAGTGATTGGTCATGTGGTCGCTATGTTTTGTTTTGTGTATATTTTGTCCCACTGACCGTGTCCAGACTCTCGGTAGTGGAGGTTACTGTCAGCTTCATTCTACAGTTCTTCAGATAAACTTGGGTCAGACACTTGAAAGGTTCAATAATTCTCCTAGACAAACTGCTTACTGGCCAGGAGCAGAACCCAGGCCCACTACCAGATGCTTTTAACTTGTAAGCATGAACCCAAGGGGCAGTCTTGTAGGACATAAGCCCTAGTTTCCCCAAAGCTGTCACCAGGTCCTTTTACCCTCTTACTTTTGCCAGTGTTTGTGCACTCTGTTTGGCTCACACTCAGCATCTCTCCTCCGTGCTAGTGTGCAGTTGAGTCCCTTGGAAGCCCTACTGCTGTCCACGGCTGGAGGTTTGTCTGGGAGGCTAGGTATGCTGGGTTGAGCTTGGAGAGGAAGAGAAATCTGCTAGATTAGATTTGTTTGCTTTTGACCACTGACTCGGAAGCCCCTGATCTGCCCAGGGTTTTGTTTATGTATTTATTCGACAACTAAAATGGCTCACGCACTACCAACACCCCAGCAGCCATCTGTGACCTCTGCATCCTGGAACAGTTGCTTTGGGTCTCCATCTGTTTCCAGAAGAGGTGGGGTGTCTCCAGATGTGCCGTCTAAGGCATTAGTCATAGGCTAGAGTTCACGAGGCAAAAAAGCATACAGAGGAAGTCATGGAGAGGAAACCAAAGGCCAGGGAAGCAGGTTTCTTCATGGTCATTGGGCTGGGAACTTGGTGCTCTTCCCCAATCAGACTCTTCTCAGCCAGGAAAAGAAAATGCTGCTTCAGTGGATTGGGTCAGTGGATGAGTGTGGGGTGTGATGGAGGTGGCTTTGTGTTTGTATTGGGCAGCCTGCAGGTGCTCATGCTAGATGTAGCTGAACCAAGACACATGGCTTTCCTTGCAGAGGTGTTGGGGTGTCTTTCAGGGGTGAAAGCACCTCTTCTCACACATTGGGATGGCTTCCAAAAACCGTGTGTGTGTGTGTGTGTGTGTGTGTGTGTGTGTGTGTGTGTGTGTGTGTGTCTGAGAGAGAGAGAGAGAGAGAGGGAGAGAGAGAGAGTGATAGATGGCAAGAGAGAGAGAGAGAGAGAGAGAGAGAGAGAGAGAGAGAGAGAACTTGTTCTTCAGTTGTCAGCTTCGAGGAAGCAGGGCATGACTAAGATGGCTTGTAGAGAGACCCATCCACCACGGGGCCCTGAGTGGAGCATTAGGGACTGCGAGGAATTTACAGAAGAATAAAGATGCCAAATCCACCAGTACTTCTCCCACCTACAGAGGACGACTGTTAACATTTGGTGTTCCAGAAAATTTCTCCACACACATGCGTATATATTTAGCTACATTATTTTTGCATATGGCAAGTATCTATCTATATATGGTTTTAAATCCTATTTTCTCACTTAACATTACATTACAAACATTTCCACATGTCAACTAAAATTATTTTATGAGGGCTTTTATGACGACAGTATGAGGTTATATTATTATTCATCTTTTAGGTTTCAGCTAAAACAGCCTAAACTCAGGGAATCCACCTCCCGCTCCTGCCATCCAGGTTCACTTTGTCTGTTAGGTTCTCAGCCTGGATGTGCGCCTTGATCCATATTACTTCAGGCTCAGGGAATCTTCTATTTAAAACTTCTCTCTGGGGTCTGGGTAAGCCCCAGAGTTCCCCTACACTCTGTTTACATA